CGTCTGTGTTAGTAAAGGTAACCGGAAACTAACTAATTAGATGCGTTTGTAAGCTAGATCAATCAAAGGACTTGTTTTCTTTCTGGAATAATGAAGTTCAGTATTATTTATATATTAATTCACAGCAATAGTCGCCTGAAGGGCCTTTTATTACAATAAAAACAATAAACTTTCATTATAAACCTTTGAAAAATGTTTTGAGTTTGCAAAGCAGTTTGACAGACGAGCAAAAGCAGAATGCTAAATTTAGAAACAGTGAAAAACGGAAAACAAACATTGAGATGAGAGGACAATAAGGTGAGATAATCGTAGCCTGGAAATGTGGAGGTATGCTCTGGAGAGGAGAGGATTAAAAGTCAGAAGCAAGATAGAATGTGTGTGGATGAAGATGCAACGAGTAGAGTTAAGGAAGGTAGATGAGTTTAAATATCTTGGGGTGAGTGAGATTTGCAATGTGTACTTTAGAGGTGGTGACACTGACAAAAAGACGCAAAAGCACAGCTGGAGGTGGCCGATTTGAAGATGTTAAGATTGTCATTGGGAGTCACCTGGATGAACATGATTTGAAATGAGAACATCAGAGGGACAGCTCTGGTTTAGTGGTTTGGACATTATTTAAAGAGGCAAGGCTGAGATGGTTTGAGCAGAGGAGGTATAGTGGATATACTGGACAGAGGATGTGTTGAAGGAGGACATGCAGAGGGTTGATGTGATAGAGCAGAAAGATTGGCTGAGAAGAAGGTAGATAATCTGCTGTGGCAATCCCTAAAGAGAGCAGCTGAAAGAAGAAGAACAAACAAGATAATATTTCTGCAAAGTATCTTGGAGACGAGATCAAAACATATCTTAAAAGTGATCAGTAAAACCTTAAAATCAAATGTACTGGGAACCAGTAGAGAGGAGCCAGGAACGTGGGTAATGCAATGCTATGTGCTAAGCCTTGCTGCTGCATTTTTAATTCGTTGAAGGTGAGATTTGAGGTGGTCTATCCCAGAAAAAACAAACCTGGATGATTTGTTTTCCCAGATCTAATTTTGAGTGTTGTTTTAATTTTGGATTAAAGGTTTGGATATAATTTGAAAGAAGCACAACTGCAGAGCTTTCCTTTAATGTCATTCAGACATTAAGGCCATGTCACATGTTACATTTTACTGTTTCTGTCAGCTCCAATTAGAATATTAGTGGTTGATGCAATTTGCATGATTTGGGATTTTGATTGTATTTAATGGAAGAAAATGTTACGTCCTCCAGCTGTTGATCTTCTTCACCAGATTTCAATTATAGGTATTTGTGTGTCCAATGGGTGAAGGCCTGATACCTGAAACACTGCTTAATATTTGACGATCTGTAATGTTCACTTTTTTTGTTGTCTGACCACATTGTGTATATTTTCTGTCCTCAAGAGCTTGACAGCTACATGACGTTATCTAAAAAGAAGATGGTCTCACTGCAACTGAAGGTTTGGGTTACTAACAACGACCTTTGCAGTCATGCACGACACAAAATACCATAAGCTGTGTTTACTACTATTTAATCACCCACATTTTCTCCTCAGAGCTCGACAGATGTCAGAGAGGAGTCACTAAGAGGTAATTTCTCAGAATTAAGAGTTTAAATGACAACATGCATCTTTTTCTTTGCTTCACTGTGTAGTTCATCTAATACAACTTGAACATTTCTTACACAGCACAGGACCCCACAGGAGGCTCTCAGGTAAATATACCTGCAATTACCTTCTGTATCAAAATATCTGGCATAACTTGAGTTAATGATGGTTTATTTTTGACAGCTGGACTTGTCATCTGATACCAGCATCCAGCTGTCTATGGAAGATGGTGGTAAGAAAAAGGAAATCCTTTTGTTTCAGTGTTTTCCGGTCTTGGATTAAATTTGTGTCAACAAAGAAATGCACAACAGAGATGCGTGATTGCTTTCTTAAATTACACATACACGCTCTCTTTAATTATTAAATAATATATTTAATAGGTTTTGCCTCTACAAACATTTTAATTTCCTTGTACTTTGTGATAAATGAATAGTTTACCATTGTGGTAGTTTTAAGTGTTTGACTCCAACACCTTGAACAGCAGCTGGCAAAGGTAGTCCTTGTTCTGCTCTTAGCTTTGGCGAGGGTTAATTAGAGTGGGCCTCCAGCTCACAGTGAACCCTAGGAGCAAAACAAACACCACTATTGCCAACTGCAGTCCAAGATAGAAGATTTGGAGTACATCCGGTTACCCCAATTAGGTAACCTGGCCCGTGAGGCAGCTGGAAGCTGGTAGTGTATGAACTTTCCAAATAAAACAGAGGGTTGTCCACTAGTGTGTGTATATATAAAGATTGTTCATCCAAGAGAAGCACTGAGTATGTTATTTGTCTAATTCCCAATTTTGTTTCCCCTTGTGCATCACACAGGGATGACTAGAAGTGATGTGACTCAGCTGACTGTGAGCTCACTGGATGAGAGTCAGAGAAACTTTTCCAATGTGGACCTTCAACCTGAAGACCAAGATGAGGAGCTGGAAATGTCTCTTAGAAGTCATGGCAGTTCCTGGGTGGAGCTCTATCCAAGTATGATTAGTCGGATAAAGAGGGCCTGGGATCGGCAGCATGTCTCTACAGCCGCTGATTCTGTGCTGAGGAGGTACCGCAGATGGCGTCAGCAATCAAATAGAAGTAACCTCAACAACACCTTTGTCGTCCCACTTAGACACACAAACAACAAACCAAAGAAGATGACCACAAAAGCATTTCCAGAGAAAAGCTCCAGCAGGCCTATGAAAGAGCAATTCACGAGGACCAAAACAACGCCTTTGCAGACTGTGACCTGTCCTAGAGACTGGCACGAAATGCACCAATCTCCTGATAGGGAGGAAAACCTTATGAGCTGGCACCAGCATAAGCCTGTCCTTGTAATGGACTTCTCTGCTTCCTCTGTGTCCTTTAAACCAAAAGAGATACCATTAAACAAGACTTTCACTGTGTCTCAGCTGTCCCCTCGTAAACAAACCCAGGTGGAAGACCAGGCTTCTGCATATAGCGTCAGTCCTTCACGACCTTGTGCTAAAGCCTCTGAGGAAAGATCAAGTCTTTCTCTATTAGAGACAGCTGGGAGCTCCATCCTTGCACCAGAATTCACTGCTGCAATAGAGAGACCTGATATCTATGGCTCCCCAGTCAGGCAGGAGGTGCTGAGCTTTAGGGACAGGAGTCCCCTAAAAGCAAGAGTGGTGACCAGCCTGGGAAGATCACCTCATTTGTTTTCCAGAAGCCCTAGTGAATATTCTGTGACTTCCAGAGAGCCTATGAGGCCCAGATCACTCACGGCCTCTCTGTTCTCCCCGACAAAAAGGCCTGTTTTGCCACTGAAGATGCTTTACCCTCAAAACTCCCAGCAGTCCTTCCTGCCGCACTCACCGCAGTCAGCCTCAGCAGCAGGGGGTCATCGCAGGCTCGTACGACACCTCTCCTTTGATTCCGTCCTGCCTTCGTCCCCTGGCTCGTGCTCACCAAAACAAGTTGATGAGGATTTCATGAAACTTTACCACAAGTTTGTGTGCCAGAACAAGTCAACTTTCTTCAATGGCCCTCCATGCCGTCTCTGTGCTAGAAGCTCTGAGGCCAGCAGAGGTCACTCTTCGTCAGCTCTGGCTGCTCTTGCACTGTCACCGCACCGGTCTGTCTTGAGGAAACGCCACAGGGACCTAGACTGGAGCAGCCATCCACAGTCCAAACGCTTCAGGGAAGTGTATTGCACATACTCCCCAGGGTCCAAACGCCACAGCAGAGCGATGCTAAGGCAAGGTCTCCCTTTGTCTGAACTGGAGCTGCCTCGTGGTGGTAGCTCCAGTAAGCACAACATGTTTCAAAGGTTCAGGAGCCAGCAGTATCCAGCACATGAGGAATATGTGGAGGCTGAATCTGCAGCGGATTTTTCTGGCATGGGTAAGCCTCATCCTTTAAGTCAAGTGATAGAGTGCTCAAATTATGTATTTTTGCATAGCTACAAAAGTGCAGTTAAGATGCCTCCTAAACATATCAGGTGCAGGCAGGTATTTCGGGAAGAGGACTTTTATGAGGACACACCCACTGAATTTGGGTGGGTGCATGCATGCATGATTGTGCATGTTTTTTTTCTAGGGTGCAGCTTTCTAAGGAACCACTCACCCAGACAACACAAGCAAACTAAAGAAGATACAAATATATAAACTGATTGTCAGCTTACTTTGTGAGAACCCCCAATATTTCTTTAAAGTTTGGGTTTTGAAATTAGAAGTCAGACTTATTTTATGCAAGTTTAATCATCACAGCTATGTAAAGAGTCCATTGACGTGTATTTTGTCAGAGTGAATTTCCACTTGGGGAGAGAGAGAGAGCACGCCTGTGTGTTTGTATGAGGGGCCGTACAAGCCAAAATTCATTCTCATACTGAGTGGAGCAGAAAGAGGTCACTGTAGCATACAAGTCACACAAAAATGACAGCTACTAAATGACCAACAATGCACCTGTGAAGTTTGTCTGTCCCTTCACATCTGATCTTCATAGTTTTCTTGACTTGTTTCTGATTACCTAATCATTATGCTTTATTCAACAGGAAGTTCACTAGAGAGCAAAATGACCTGTGGCTACTCTCCCAGGTGACTAAAATAATTCCCATGTACAATATATTTTTGGCCTCTGGGGGTTGATGTGTTCTTACTCACCTTTTCCCATCACATACAGAAAATGGCGATGAAGGGGATCATCAAGGAGATGGGCCGATGAAATTTAATGAAATGTATGACCATCTAGTTCAGCGATGGAAACCTGCCGATAATTAATCTCTCTGAACTATTTTTAATTGATTATAATTGTTCATATTTTATAGCTAGATTTTATAATGTTCTATCAATTCTTGAATATGTTTGATGTCTATTTTTCTGATGTCTATTCATTACTGAAATAAAATTGTCAATGGGAGAATGTAGTTATATAAAAAAAAAAAAAAAAAGTACTTGTTGTCATTGTAGTTATTGTTTATTATTCATACATCATATTCCTGTATTGTTCAAATTTGAGAAAACAGCACAAAACATAAACAAAACAGCTTTTCTAAGTAAATAACAGAAATAAAGATGATTTAATGTTTTGGTCATTTATCGTGTGCGCTTTTTCTGGCATTGTAAATGCTTTGAATACATGTGGAAATCTACTTTTCAAATAAATGCAGCTGCAAAACAAAAACATACTTGTGTGGTAAGAAATACACACCTGGAATTAGTCACATCCAGGAACAGAAAAAGAAAAGCTTAGCCACCACAGGTGAGAAAAAGCATCACTTTCATCTTCCTAAGGTTCTGAATAAAGTAACCTTTTGTAGTTGTGTAACATCTTAGTGTTCCGGCTGGCAATGTTGAGATAAACCATATGTAGAACAGGTTTTTTTTTTAAAGTTTGCAGCACCATCCACAGTGCTACTGTTGGTGCAGCAGTTACCACTCCAGCTCCACTGGATATTTCCCAGTCAGACAGGCAGTGCAGTGGCCCGCTTTCCTGTTGGACTTGTTATTGGAATTAATTTTGTCCTTTTCAATATGGAAAGCAATACCCTCCTGGACAGCAGATACGAGGCCCTCCACAGTCAGATATTTAACACTGTCAGCACCTGTAAACAGCGTTAGCATTAAACACAAGCTTTTGTTCTGACCAGGCAAAGAAATGAATGGTAGAAGTGCATTTTTAAATACCAATATAACCAGCAATGTCCTGAAACTCCGGCTTGTTGGCAATGAGCTCCTCCTTGGTTGGGATGTTGATGCCCATGTAGCAAGGGAACCTGATTGGTGGAGAAGCCACCCTGATGTGGACCTGTCCAGAAGAATAATTAGGTTACTATAAACACAAAGTTAGTGTGTGACTATATTCTGGTCACACACAGTTAGGTACCCTTTTCAGGACCAATATTTGTTCTTCAAATGGTCAGAAATAACAAAACAAAACGTATCTTCTGTTAATTCAGGTGACAATGATTATTTACCTTTACTAAATGTGGCAAAAATGTAGCATTTATCTCTTCTTCTATACACATCAAGCACTTGATGTGTATAGAAGAAGAGACAATAAAGTGCTGTATGAATGTTTGGTTAAAATGTGAATTACGGTTCAGATCAGATTGACTAGTAGGCCCTAAAATGATGAATGAGAGTATGTGATGTTACTCATGCCATAAATCTGATTAGGGACAGATTTTCATAAAAATGGTTTACCAGACGCGGGGCTTGGCCCAACTTTTTAAAAAATCCAAAAGTTAATCACTTCCTAGCTTTAGTATTACAAGATTAAATATTCCCAAATAAACATGTATCAATGAAACAATAACTGGGATGTTCAAGAAAATACCCCCAAAATTTGGATCCAGATATCCTGGATTTGGGGTTTTAATTCATGCATAGTGTGGAGGGAATTTTCTGTCTTATTGGAAATACAGTCTCAGACTGCTCTTGTGGTATGCCCACTTTTTTGAGTTGACAGTTAATGAGCCTAATATTTTCTATGAACCCCTGATGTAAGTATAGTACGCAATGTGACAAACACATGGGCTTTTTTTCCCACTTATTCCACTTTTTGGCATTAAAAAACTCTCCAGTTTTATGTTACTTTCCTGTGCTTCTAGTCTACTTACAGTCTGAATTATCAGACAATCCGAACCAACCAGTTTCTGAGCCACTCTGCCAAAATGTTGTGTGTGCTATAACAACAACTTTTGCCAAACGCTATTAAACGAACCTCTTTGGCACCCGCTTCCTTCAGCAGCTTAATAATAGGGGAAATTGTGTTGCCTCTGACGATGGAGTCATCAATGAGCACCACTCGTTTCCCAGCAAAGTTGTCCGTCAGTGCTCCAAACTTCTTGGCCACTCCTAGCTGCCTCAAGCGGGTATTTGGCTGGATAAAAGTTCTTCCAACATAGCGGTTTTTACACAGAACCTCAATGTATGGAAGACCAGACTGTGAGAAGAAGACAGAAGAAAAGCTGGTGAGACTGTAAGTCCACCCAGTATATTATAACATTACTGAGGTGGAGCAGACACACTGTAGATCAGACCTGCTCAGCGTAGCCCAGAGCAGCAGGGGTTGCAGACTCTGGCACAGTGCTGACAACGTCTGCATCAGTCGGAGACTCGATGGCCAACTGCCGCCCACATCGCTGTCTGGCAGTATAGACCATTTGCCCTGTAGTACATTGATATTTCAGTATTAATACATTTAAGAAATGAGTAATCAGTAAGTGTGTTACCCATAATAAATATGCATACCTTCGAATATAGAGTCTGGTCTGGCAAAATAAACATATTCAAAAATGCAGAATGCTGGCAGGTCTCCCTCAGGTCGAGGCACAACACTCAGAGATTTGACACCATGTCTGGATATCTGGACTATCTCTCCTGGCAAGACCTCTCTGTAGTACCTGTTAATCAATAACGACAAAAAAATATATAATGAACCGATGGACTCAAGGAACACCATTTCACTGTTCATGCATTCAGATTCAGATTCAGAAGAATTTATCCCCAAGGGGCAATTAAGAGACTGACCTTGCCGACCGTACATAAAATACACAAACATCACATTGGGGAGATAGGTCAGGCTAG